CCGGAAACCAAGGAGTGGGCGTCATTCTCTCCCGCCTTAGGTCAATGCTTTCACATCTGACTACTCATTGGTTGAAAACCAAAATGGTAAAAGAAACAACAACCCCTTCCTTTACCTTATCCACAGCTCTGTAGTCACCAGTCAGCTCCGTGATCTGTCATTCATTTGCAGAGAGAGGACAGGGGTTATGACCTGTGTACATAGTCAATAGCCATTAAATGCTGGTCACTTTAATGTTTACATACTGTTTTACCCACTTCATATGTATATACTGTATCCTAGTCGAGGCTCATCCTATATAACTACTGTTGTACACAACCTTTTCTATGAGTTTACTGTCAGTAATGTCTATACACACCATTATATACATATACACTGACCAAAAATATAAACACAACATGCAACAATTTCAAAGATTTTACTGAGTTACAGTTCATATAAGAAAATCAGTAAATTGAAATAGATTCATTAGGCCCTAATCTATGGATTTCACATGATTGGGAATACAGATATGCATCTGTTGCTCACAGATACCGTGAAGGTAGGGGCGTGGATGAGAAACCAGTCAGTATCTGGTTTTACCATAATTTGCCTCATGCAGCACAACACATCTCCTTCACATAGAGTTGATCAGGCTGTTGATTGTGGCCTGTGGAATGTTGTCCCACTCCTCTTCAATGGCTGTGTGAAGTTGCTGGATATTGGAGGAAACTGGAACACGATGTCGTACACGTCGATCCAGAGCAACCTAAACATGCTCAATGAGTGACATGTCTGGTGAGTATGCGTGCCATGGAAGAACTGGGACATTTTCAGCTTCCCAGAATTGTGTACAGATCCTTGCCACATGGGGCAGTGCATTATCATGCTGAAACATGAGGTGATGGCGGCAGATAATGGCATGACAATGGGCCTCAGGATCTCGTCACGGTATCTCTGTGCATTCAAATTGCCATCGATAAAATTCATTTGTTGTCTGTAGCTTATGCCTGTCCATACCATAACCCCACCACCACCATGGGGCACACTTCACAACGTTGAGATCAGCAAACCGCTCGCCCACACAACGCCATACACGCTGTCTGCCATCTGCACAGTACAGTTGAAACCGGGATTCATCCGTAAAAGCATGCTTCTCCAGCATGCCAGTGGCCATCAAAGGTGAGCATTTGCCCACTGAAGTTGGTTTCGACTCCGAACTGCAGTCAGGTCGAGACCTTGGTGAGGACGACAAGCACGCAGATGAACTTCCCTGAGACGTTTTCTGAGATTTTGGGCAGAAATTATTCGGTTGTGCAAACCCACAATTTCATCAGCTGTCCAGGTGGCTGGTCTCAGACGATCCCGCAGGTGAAGAAGACGGATGTGGAGGTCCAGGGCTGGCGTAGTTACACGTATCTGCGGTTGTGAGGCCAGTTGGACAAATTCTCTAAAATGAAGTTAGTAGAGAAATTAACATTCAATTCTCTGGCAACAGCTCTGGTGAACATTCCTGCAGTCAGCCTGCCAATTGCACGCTCCCTCAAAACTTGAGACCTCTGACATTGTGTTGTGATGACAACTGCCCATTTTATAGTGACCTTTTATTGTCCCCAGCACAAGGTGCACTTGTGTAATGATCATGCTGTTTAATCAGCTTCTTGATATGCCACACCTGTCAGGTGGATGGAATATCTTGGCAAAGGAGAAATGCTCACTAACAGGGATGTAAACAAATTTGTGCGTACAATTTGAGAGAAATACTCTTTTTGTGTGTGTGGAAAATTTCGGGGATCTTTTATTTCGGCTCATGAAACATGGGACCAACACTTTTTACATGTTGCGTTTATATTTTTGTTCAGTATATATTTATATTCCGGACTCTTTGACATTTCTCGTTCTTATATTTGTGTGTATTGTTAGGTATTACGGAACTGTTGGAGCTAGGAACATAAGCATTTCGCTACACTCACGATAACATCTGTAAAATATGTTTTAAGCAACCAATACAATTTGATTTAGGTGTTTTGACACCTCAACACTGCCTCTTCAACAAGTGACAAGCTCACAACACTCAGGGGTGTTTAAGTATGTAATGGGTTTTAAAGGACCATTCTTCTCATCTACTTTTAGAGCGGAATTAGACAGTGCTGCCTCTGTTTTTGACAAATACTCCGTTTGACCTTTGAATCCTACCCTGGGAGTGTGACTGGGCAAGGCCTAACCAGTCCTGCGGTTTGGCCTAACCAATCCAGTCCTCCTGGGGTTTTATGGGTTGTTCTTGTATGTGGGAAGAGAGCACTTAATGGACTGCAACTTCTCAGGGCTCCTGAACTTTGAACTCTGACCTCACTTTATGTCACTATTGAGTGTAGCAGATAGGCCTGAGGTGGAGGTTAAATGCTGATCACGGTGTTGTTTACACTGATGAAGGTGCTACGGTGTGCACTAATGAATACAACCCTGGTCTTGGACATTTTATTTTTACTAACTTAAGTAGGCCTAGTTCAGGTTAGTATAAAGGCAAGTTGTTTCTTTCTAGTTAAGGAACAAGCAAAAATACATCTTCTGATCAACAATTTACTTGTGTTATAAAAGGCCAACTAAAATGTAGTTTCAGTTTGAGCCACTCTGTTTAATGATAGTTTTGCAAAGCCACAGGATACATTTCCCCATGTATAACAACATCTGCTCTTTATTTGAGACTCCTATCTAAGACCGATGTGGCTTTCAGTGTCACCGAGACGATCTGGGCTCCAGGCCTCTGCTGTGCTGGGGAGAGTAGAGCTGTTGCTTGTTTCTATTGCCTGGCTCTGAAGAAAATATGTCCAATGCCTGTGTTAACTGCGAAATCATGTTCCATGTGTGCCTTGGCCTCTTTTGGAAGACGCACAGCCAGAGAGCATTATTATGACAGACATACACACACTGTTATGCTATGCTTTGAGACTTTCGCTTTTGTCAATATCTTCGACTACATGCAGCTACAGCTTTGGCCCAATCCACACACCATTGTATGTCCTCAATTTCTCCCACGCTTCTGAGAAGTTCTCAGAACAACCCAATTGAATCAAGTCTCCCACTGAATTGGATATGGTGGTCTAAGGGAAGGGAAGAAGGGAACATTGTGTAGCTAATGTGCTGTAATGGCCACGTTTGGCTCGGCTCTGCTCCACCCCTTATCGATGTAAAGGATGGCTGTAAAGCTCTCTTGTGTCTGACAGGTTCTAACACCACTGTTACCATAGCAACTGGACACCCCCGCCCACCTAGTAACTACACATTGAAATGCATGCTGTTGGTGGGGGGGGGGGGATTCTCCAATCTGATTGGATGAAGAGCGGTGAGGTCGTTGCTAGCACTCAGGGATTCAACCCCCTCTCTTCCTTTGTTTCTCTGGCTTGTCCAGGTTGTCATCTTTTCTCCCCCACTCTGAGACGAGAATGTGTTGAAGGAGCTAGGAAAACGCAGTGGGAGCTCATTCTCAAGAACAGCACGTGGACCTAATGTTAACAGCATCAGTACTGAAACAAGTTGCTTCCTAAATAACAGACAAGTTCAGGGCATTTTGCTCCACTATTTTTCAATGTCTTCATTCTCAGTACTGCACTAACATCAACACAATGTGTTTGTTTAGTTTTCAGTCACAACACTGGGTTAGAGGACTGAATAAAACCTCTGTCTAATTGATTTGCCACCAAATACATTTTCTGACGTGTTTCCAACAGTGATCTGCAGCTCTCTCTCTTTCTGAGGGCTCTCAGTAGATGTGGAGATATCACACAGGGAAGTTTCCCAGAAAACTATTCTGCTTCAGCTCAAAGTTACACAAACACTTCATTACAATACGTAGGCGTGTATATATACTACAGTCATTGCATATGGGTCCCCAGTAAGAAGATTAGTTTGGGGAATTAGTGAAGCTTGCAATGTCCCAACAGAACATATCCCTTCTTACATTGGAACTATGACAGTATGACTGGGATTGGGCAAGCGGCATAAAACCTGCTTTTACTTGAACACACTGACTTTGGAATATACCCCTCTTCCTCTTCAACATAGTTTTTTGTTGATGTCTCACACACTGAGCGCAGCCCAGCTTTTACCACACACACACTGTCAGTCGTCCTGTCATACTAAGTGTGTGAATCCACTCGTAAAAATAATAAATAGCATTTTAGTTGTGTCATGTAGCCAGCCAGCGTCTACAAGAGCAACGTAATGAGTTGTATAAATCTAGGACTTTGGCTGCCTCGGAAATGGCACCTATTCATTATATAGACCACTACTTTTGACCAGGGCCCACAGGATTCCCTCAAAGACCGCTCTTATAGGCTGGCAGAGGTCCAGGAGGCAGGATGAGGTCTATGCCTGCAGGTCTGGTATGAACGTATGTCAGTGTTGTAATAGCCCTGTAGAGTGTAGGAGGGGGGTGTCTGGCATCGTATTTCAATTCAGACCATACAACGGCAACATAAGCTGTGAACATAGTGTGCTAGCTAGATGAATGGTTGGCTTAATGCTTCCTTCCAGCTATCCTAGTTTTCCTCCCTCCCCTCTTTTGTCTATTGATTGTAGTATTCATTGGGAGTGAACCCGGCTGTCAAACTCACTAGATGGAGATTAGTCAGATGACGCTAGAAATGTTCTCAGACATGTTTCTGCTGGTACCTAACCTATGCTGCTTGACCTATTTGAAAACGATGTCCTCTGGTCATGGCAGAGCAGAGGTTAGAGGTAATTCTGCTGTCAACCAAGTGGGTGGTGAGGTCTACGTTACCAGAGCTAACCTAACTGCAGTCCCAGAGCTTTGCAGTGGGAGAGTTTCCTTTTTTATACGGTGAAGGTGGCATATGGAGAAATGTTTTTGCACCTAAGTTTCCCATGTTCCTCTGTTGACGAAGTTAGTACAATCAAAATATTTATTGAGAAATTGAATGAAATGCTGGTAACATTCCCTGCTCTAACTGTTGTTAACGTGCTCTAGCCTCTAACCATGCCTTCTTTCTCTCCCCACAGAGGAGAATGAGCTGAGGGAGAAGCTTCGCCTCGAACAGCTGTCTGACCACCCCCACAGGCGCAATGATGTCACTTCCTACTCCTCCCCCATCCAGATGAACCATGTGACCCGAGCAGAAGAGCCCTGCCCCCACTCGGAGCGCCGCCCCGCCCCTGTCCCACCCCCACTGCCACCCCCCTCCATGCCCATCACCGTCATCCCTATCCCCAGGATGACCTCCAACCACACAGGTCTGTCCCCCACCATCTCAACCCCTTCCTCCACCACCCTGTCCCCCCAGGCTGGGGCAGCATCCCACCTGGCCTCCCCCAGGAGGGTCCCTCACTCCCCAAGTCAGGACCTCCAGGGACAGGGTGCACTTTTAGCTGTCTCTCCTCAGGTGAAGACAGACCACCCCCACCACTTGCCTTTGACCCAGTCTGGCAACCACAAGCAGAATCACCACCACCACCATCATCACCTTCCGCAGATGGTTTCCCCCCAATCTGGTAACCATAAACTGCAGCAGAAGCAGTCGCCCCAGCTGGTGCAGCCCTACCCTGGCTCCATCGTCTCAGCCCCCCAGCTGCATGCCTTACTCCCCCAGCCAGGGCCCCCCCAGACACCCCGTGGGGCCCAGACCAGCCCTGTTGGGGGCCGAGGCAGCCCCCCTGACCTGGACGGGAAGAAGAGGCCTGGAGGGTATGTGGCCATTTTTGTTATTTCTAGGAGAGATGGTTTGCACTTTGGTTGGATTTTTTCCTCCATTTGCATTTTAGTTTTCCTTTTATTTTTATTTGGCTATTTTGTAGTGAAGAGTCTGTGTGTAGATGTACCTGATTGTCAGTCACATGATGAGCGGTAAGGCACAAACGGTATCAGAAAAATCACAAACCATGAAAAGTCACTGCATGAAGGATTCTTGGACTATGTACTCTATAATGAGTATGTCCTGATTGGACAATTGAGTAGTAATCAGATCCAATTAGCTGCCTGTGCATATTATACAGTATATTGTTGAAGTGAAGTAACAGAGATGATGGAGTACTTTATATTTGTTGGTTGATTTGATTCTTGTTCTATGAGTCTCGTCGTCTTGCCCATTCTGGACACCCAATCTTATAATGTGCTCCGATCTGTGCTTTTACAGGGCAGGGACAAGAGAAGTACATAACAAGCTTGAGAAAAACAGGTGGGTGCATCTCTCTCCCATGGTCGCCTTTTATTAAACAAAGAGGGTTGAGGTCTTTGCACAGAGCAGTTTAAGGTTATGGTGAGGTTAGGTGTACACTATTGTTGGCCACATCTTTTTTCAACCGAGTTGCTTGCATACTTCTCTGTCCTGTTCTAAAAACAAATTATATTCCCATTTATTCACTTATGGCTAATCTATAGATATTGCATTTGTCAGACGATAATTGATAATATCTTGGACTTGTTAATGGCTTTGAATGTTCTGTTTATTCTGATAGTACTTCCATGTACTGTAGTAGTAGGGTTATAATGGCCAAAACAGGACCAAGCAGAGGAGTGGTTGCCTTACCCCTGCCTGCATCCTTTGTCACAGACGTTTTACCACAAAAACAGAAACCTGTTCAATATGTCTCATGTTAGTAGTCATTCTTTATTAGTCCCAAATGGTTTGTGGCATAATTTTTTTTAAGAAGCTGAATGTGTGAAGTCATGCCTCGTCCTGCCTCTTCCTCTCACTAAAAGGCTCTTCTCGTTCTACCTCTCTTCCATCCCTCCATCCCTCAGACGTGCTCACCTGAAGGAGTGCTTTGACACCCTGAAGAAAAACATCCCCAATGCAGACGAGAAGAAGACCTCTAACCTCAGTGTCCTGAGGAGCGCCCTCAGATATATACAGGTAAGCAAGCTAGAAGAACTGCATGGTTGAGCAAAGGATCAACTACTATTGAATTCGCTGTTGAATTCAGTGTAGATTTTCACTCTGCGTTTTCACCATTTGAATTTGTGGATTTTTCCAGTTTTCCAATGTTAATTGTTACCCTGTCAAGGGAAGTGGTGTCAGTTTTGTGTCATATCTTGTAGGCTTTGTTTGAAGAAAGTGTAGTGTAATGCATTTTTCCTAATAATTTCATACCTTGATTACATTGAGACACGATGACATACACTATATAAATATATATATATATATATATATATATATATATATATATATATATATATATATATATACAGAAGTATGTGGACACCCCTTCAAATTAGTGGATTCTGCTATTTCAGCCACACCCGTTGCAGACAGGTGTATAAAATCGAGCACACAGCCATGCAATCTCCATAGACAAACATTGGCAGTAGAATGGCCTTACTGTAGAGCTCAGTGACTTTAACGTTGCACCGCCACATGATGCCACCTTTCCAACAAGTCAGTTAGTCAAATTTCTGCCCTGCTAGAGCTGCCCCAGTCAACTGTAAGTGCTGTTATAGTGAAGTGGAAACGTCTAGGAGCAACAACGGCTCAGCCCGAAGTGGTAGACTGCACAAGCTCACAGAACGGGATCACCGAGTTGCAACACTACTACCGAGTTCCAAATTGCCTTTCGAAGCAACTGTAATTTGGCCACTCAGGAACATTCACTGTCTTCTTGATAAGCAACTCCAGTGTTGTCCTGCTGACAGGTGAATTCCTCTTCCAGTGTCTGGTGTAAAGCAGGTTTTCCTCTAGTGCTTAGCTCCATCCCGTTTCTTTTCATCCTGGAAAACTCCCCAGTCTTTGCCTATGTCAAGCATACCCATACCATGATGCAGCCACCACCATGCTTGAAAACAAGGAGGCAGTTACTCATTGATCTGTTGTTGGATTTGCCCCAAACATTTTGCTTTTAGGCCAAAAAGTGTGTTTTTGCACTATTACTTTAGTGTCTTTTGCACACATGTTGATTCTGTATATTTTTGTTCTTCTTTTCACACTGTCATTTAGGTCATTATTGTGAAGTCACTACAATGTTGATCCATCCTCAGTTTTCTCCCATCACAGCCATTGTAGCTGTTTTAAAATCACCAATGGCCTCATGGTGACATCCCTTAGCAGTTTCCTTCCTGTCCTGCAGCTCAGTTCAGAATGACGACTGTATCATTGATGTGTCTGGGTGGTTTAATACATAATCCATAGCATAATTATTAACTTGACCATGCTTAAAGATATATTTAATGTCCATTGATTTTGGAATGAGATGTTCGACAAGCTGGTGTCCACATACTTTTGGTCATGTAATGTCTCCTTTTTTTATTACGTGTGAATTATAAAACTGACTTACTAAATTAAACAAATTTTTAGCAGAATTCCTAGTGATTTTGTAACCAACTTTTTATTTAGTTTTGTCATTTAACTTTTTCAGAGGAGGGTTACAGGTACAAAAAAGTTTAGACCAAAAACTAAAATCCCTTCCGGGACTGTTTTGGCCCGCGGGCCGCTTGTTGCCGACCCTTGGTGTACTGTCTGGTGGTGTTGCTAGGAACCGTCTGAGCACTGAACTTTTCTGTTGCTTCTTCAGTGTGAGGGTGTCTAACCCTTCACCTCCTGCTGATTTGTGCCTGATCCACCACACCTACAGGCGGCTTCTTGTGTGGGCAAACTGTCTGTTACAAAATTGGTGTAAACTGCAATTAATTTCAGATTAACTAAAATGATAACAATCCGTATTTGTTTTAATGCCAGCAGGCTAATATTGGAGCTGCTTTGTATATCCTTATGTCCTTGGTGTTCTTGGCAACATCATTAGGTCTGGTCAGGTTAGGACAGGGGAGGGAAGGGAGTTTCTAGTCTCTAGCAGAAGGCTAAACTGTTTGGATATGCTCAGCTACCTGGGGTATAGGCAGACCAGAGAGTCTCCAATATGTACCAAGAGTTCTTTTGAAAGATTATTAAAGCTAATCTTTTATATAAGCTTTTTATTTAGATTATTTTATGTGATTTAAAACCCTTTAATAGACTTTTGTGGTTGAAACAGGAATGAATGTAATTAAGTGGTTCAATGATGTGTGATACAGGCAGGTAGTATATCGAAAGCTATGTGCAAGCAGGTGACCGGTGTACAAAGGTCTTCAACTAACCTAATTTAACTCAGGAGTAATGTGATAGTTCCCGTTGCTGTGTGTGTGCTTGTTAAAAAATAAATAAAAAAAAATATATATATATATATATATATATATATATATATATATATATATATATATATATATATATATATATATATATATATACATATTATACAGTACCAGTCAAAAGTTTGGACACACCTACTTATTCAAGGGTTTTTCTTTATTTTTATACTATTATCTACATTGTAGAATAATAGTGAAGACATCAAAACTATGAAATAACATCTATTGAATCATGTAGTAACCCAAAAAGTGTCCAAATATATTTTAGATTCTTCAAAGTAAACACCCTTTGCCTTGATGACAGCTTTGCACACTCTTGGCATTCTCTCAACCAGCTTCATGAGAGATGATACATATATATATATATATATATATATATATATATATATATATATATATATATATATATACACACAGTATCTCACAAAAGTGAGTACACCCCTCACATTTGTGTAAATATTTGAGTATATCTTTTCATGTGACAACACTGAAGAAATGACACTTTGCTACATTGTAGAGTAGTGAATGTACAGCTTGTATAACATTGTACATTTGCTGTCCCCTCAAAATAACTCAACACACAGCCATTAATGTCTAAACCGCTGGCAACAAAAGTGAGTACACCCCTAAGTGAAAATGTTCACTCGTTAGTGTTACAAGGTCTCAGGTGTGAATGGGGAGCAGGTGTGTTAAATTTGGTGTCATCGCTCTCACACTCCCTCATACTGGTCACTGGAAGTTCATCATTGCACCTCATGGCAAAGAACTCTCTGAGGATCTGAAAAAAAGAATTGTTGCTCTACATAAAGATGGCCTGGGCTATAAGAAGATTGCTAAGACCCTGAAACTGAGCTGCAGCACGGTGGCCAAGACCATACAGCAGTTTAACAGGACAGGTTCCACTCAGAACAGGCCTCGCCATGGTCGACCAAAGAAGTTGAGTGCACGTGCTCAGCGTCATATCCAGAGGTTGTCTTTGGGAAATAGACGTATGAGTGCTGCCAGCATTGCTGCAGAGGTTGAAGGGGTGGGGGGTCAGCCTGTCAGTGCTCAGACCATACGCCGCACACTGCATCAAATTGGTCTGCATGGCTGTCATCCCAGAAGGAAGACTGTTCTAAAAATGATGCACAAGAAAGCCCGCAAACAGTTTCCTGAAGACAAGCAGACTAAGGACATGACATGGATTACTGGAACCATGTCCTGTGGTCTGATGAGACCAAGATAAACTTATTTGGTTCAGATGGTGTCAAGCGTGTGTGGTGGCAACCAGGTGAGGAGTACAAAGACAAGTGTGTCTTGCCTTCAGTCAAGCATGGTGGTGGGAGTGTCATGGTCTGGGGCTGCATGAGTGCTGCCGGCACTGGGGAGCTACAGTTCATTGAGGGAACCATGAATGCCAACATGTACTGTGACATTCTGAAGCAGAGCATGATCCCCTCCCTTCGGAGACTGGGCCACAGGGCGGTATTCCAACATGATAACGACCCCAAACACACCTCCAAGACGACCACTGCCTTGCTAAAGAAGCTGAGGGTAAAGGTGATGGACTGGCCAAGCATGTCTCCAGACCTAAACCCTATTGAGCATCTGTGGGGCATCCTCAAACGGAAGGTGGAGGAGTGCAAGGTCTCTAACATCCACCAGCTCTGTGATGTCATCATGGAGGAGTGGAAGAGGACTCCAGTGGCAACCTGTGAAGCTCTGGTGAACTCCATGCCCAAGAGGGTTAAGGCAGTGCTGGAAAATGATGGTGGACACACAAAATATTGACACATTGGCCCCAATTTGGACATTTTCACTTAGGGGTGTACTCACTTTTGTTGCCAGCGGTTTAGACATTATTGGCTGTGTGTTGTGTTATTTTGAGGGGACAGCAAATTTACACTGTTATACAAGCTGTACACTCACTACTTTACATTGTAGCAAAGTGTCATTTCTTCAGTGTTGTCACATGAAAAGATATACTCAAATATTTACAAAAATGTGAGGGGTGTACTCACTTTTGTGAGATACTGTGTGTGTGTGTATGTATGTGTGTGTATATATATATATATATATATATATATATATATATATATATATATATATATACATACATACATACATACATACATACATACATACATACATACACACACAGTGAGGGAAAAAAGTATTTGATCCCCTGTTGATTTTGTACGTTTGCCCACTGACAAAGAAATGATCAGTTTATAATTTTAATGGTAGGTTTATTTCAACAGTGAGAGACAGAATAACAACAAACAAATCCAGTAAAACGCATGTCAAAAATGTTCTAAATTGATTTGCATTTTAATGAGGGAAATAAGTATTTGACCCCCTATCAATCAGAAAGATTTCTGGCTCCCAGGTGTCTTTTATACAGGTAACGAGCTGAGATTAGGAGCACACTCTTAAAGGGAGTGCTCCTAATCTCAGTTTGTTACCTGTATAAAAGACACCTGTCCACAGAAGCAATCAATCAATCAGATTCCAAACTCTCCACCATGGCCAAGACCAAAGAGCTCTTCAAGGATGTTTGGGACAAGATTGTAGACCTACAAAAGGCTGGAATGGGCTACAAGACCATCGGCAAGCAGCTTGGTGAGAAGGTGACAACAGTTGGTGCGATTATTCGCAAATGGAAGAAACACAAAATAACTGTCAATCTCCCTTGGCCTGGGGCTCCATGCAAGATCTCACCTCGTGGAGTTGCAATGATCATGAGAACGGTGAGGAATCAGCCCAGAACTACACGGGAGGATCTTG